ATTAATATTTGTACGGCAATGGTATATGGTCTGACAAGTACCAGGCGGTCAATTATTCATGATGCTGCCTGCAAGACAAATCGCTTTGCTTCCGTTCATGTTGCCATAAATCTGAGTAGATTTTCAGCCGAAAAGCTGAACTCGTCTCTTGCAGGATACCCCACTTAACCAAGGACCTTCACGGCTGTTTCGTGAACAACTACCATTTCGTTACTGGTAGACGCTTACTTGCGTTCAAGATACCGCATCATTTTTCCGAATACGTGTATCATTTGCGGAAGGTTATGTCTGCCGGTTTTCATATTGTTTGCACTTCTCGGCAAAATCTGGCAGCCTCTTCTTTTATTTCGGCACCAGTGACAGAGTCGTTCACGTAAAACGAGTCAGCAAGAGTTTAGGCTATTTGTGCCATGGCAGCTCGTGCTCTTTTCACGTGGTAGAGAATAGAAGCCGTAAAAGAGGAACGGGCTACAAGTTACTCCAAATGGCACTCGTGTCATCCTCTACACTTGGAACTTTGGCCTAGATAAACCTCGTTTTTCAAACCATGAAAAGAAAGCGAACAGTATTACTTCTACTAGTACCACTATCTGAAGAAACGCCTTTACTATGTGGGCAATCATGGCCACCAGGTGCATTCTGAAGCGTAGTAGAATATGCATGAGGTCTTGATACAAGTTGTCACCTTTTTCAAGGCAGTCTTTGAGAAACTTGCGTCCCTTGGCATGTCACGAAACGTCGAACGCCACTCGAATTTTTGTCGTCAGCGCTTGTCCACATGTGACTCCTTGTGCGGCATACAATATAACTTCGTCACGTCTAGTACTCTCTTATGGTATCGTCATACGTTTGGAGCAGTCCCTTGTTAGCGCTGAGAGGGCTGACAAGTTTGTCCAGTCGAGTAATACCGATTTGTCTGTTGCGTGAAAGCTCAAATCTACCCTTCCAAGGAAGGGTCACTTCATACCTTCCATTGAGAAAGCTAATGGTTTTCTCAAAATGTCTCATGGTTCTCAAGTTCCCAAAAGGAACGCAGAAACTCGGTGGAATTGATAGCGAGAGCTTTGAGCACGCACGCGTCCATGTAGCTGTTAGTCGAGACATCGACTGCCATGTGCTTTCCTGCAAGGTCCATCCCAACTTGGAGTTGAGTGCAGTGAACGATTCATTGCTTTCACACCTTGAAATTTCACCTGTCAACACTTGCCACATTTGATCCTGGCCGAGCTGTACGCTCATACCACTATTCGTTATGACAGACGGGTGGATCAATTCATCAGCGACATCCTCTCTGAGGTTCTTGAAAGACGCGACGAAGGCTACGTCCATTGTCGCTTCTTCGATAACCTGGCAGATATATGGGATCTAGATGGCTTGGATGACCATCCCTTTCTCAGAAACTTGACTTCACAGTCTCAGTTCTACTATGCGACTCCTTTCAGCCTCTTGGTATAATGCACTTGCGAAAGTGTTGAGGGTAGTCTGAGTGGTTTCCACGCTTTTCAGCGGAAGATTCTTGGATAAAGCTTTGGTTATGATGGTACTCTGACTACCACTGTAAAAAACTTCTCTAACGTAGCGGCAGATGTTTTTGTTTGTGGCCCAAGCTCGGAAAGTCTTCAGAAAGACACGAGTAATGGAGTTTTCACTTACGTATCGTTTTCTCAGTGGTGTACGCACTGTCGTAGTTTTGTCATCGTTAATGTTTGCATAAAATGTAGGCTGCGCACTCCTCTCCGGGTCACACATGGTCGTAGCATGTAGGCCTTTGCATCTCGAACAGGCAATCTTTTTTTTTACAGTCCCGTGCTCGATTTCTTCTGGTAGAGCAGCGGAAACATCTGTCATTCAACAGCAGTTCCTTCATCTGCTTCAGATGTAGCTCAGCTGGGCACAATTCGGTTTCATGAAGATTTTACGAGAGGAGGGATCAGTTGTGCTTTCTTGGTTCTCGCGCTGAGTTACTGTGAAGCAGAGATGAGGTGGGTTTTTCTCGGCGAGAATACGTCGACTGACTGTCACCGGTTGGGTTTCGAGTTTTCGACATCTGGGGTACTTATAGTCCCTCTTTTCTAATATTTCTAACTCGATGCACAGGAAGTTGAGATGATCATCCAGTCCTACGGGTGTATCATTGCCTCTCGAGTCACGTGACACCTGGATGGCCTACGATCGATGGCACTGCACTACTATGTCCCACCAGTAGAATGTTGGAGAGCTTAGATGAGAAGGAGACCTTATGCATGCCAAGAGCATCTAGGCCTCGGATACTGACGAGTTCTTGGTCGCAGAAGTTGCGCATAGCTTTGGTGTCGTTTGACGAACAGACAGGGCTCCACATGCGTAGCTTCGCAAAATATTCTTTCTCTAGGCGCGTCTTGTCACCAAAGCGCCTCTGCAGCATGGTTATAGCATCGTTGTAGCAGCTCTCAGTCGTCAGAAGACCCCTCATTACCGATGGAGGGTAGTTTTAAATATAAATTTGCAGGCAATTTAGTTTCTTTGTGGCCATTATGCGGGGGTCTCTGTGAACAAGCTAGTCGAGTCATTCTCAAAATTTCCTCCAATTGCACAGTTCCACAGAGGATAGAGCTATTGTCAGTTTAGGCAGTGTAACGCCAGATCCGTCTAAGATGCTGCAACTGTTTGAGCGACCGTTCCTTCGTTTGCGGTTGACGACTGTAGCATGCGATTCTTCTTGCTACTAAGATCCGCAAGAATGCGAATAGCATTGTCTTCGTATTTTAGGCTGGCGTTATACTAAGCTGAAGCGTTTTGTCGGGAATGCGCTGCTTGATTTCGGCTTTCACGTTATTAGGATCGTTGTTGCTAGCTTTCAGTCCCTCATATATGAGGTGGAGCTGGTCATAGGTCGCAGAGTTGTTAGCGAGGACACCACTAGCCTCGTTTATAATTTTCGTGTTTTGTGCTCGCCGTGATGTCCGCTTCGACTTTAATCAGTTGATGCCGGTGCAATTGACTGGTAGCCGTCTGTAGGTCACTGGTTTTCAATCCCGGGTTTCAGCACCAAATGTTCGAACGAAGGCGTTAACGTGATTAAACTCCACTCCGTCGTAAAGGGTTTTGGCTAACACACTTTTATTGAGATTCAGCTTGGAAACGCTCTGCCGTAAGTTCCAAGCGTCCCCGCTTCAAGTGCTCCCGCTTTTTCTTCCTCGGTTATTTTATCCAGCCCGGAACGTGCAACTAATAAGAGAAGTATTCTACAACAGAACCACGCCAGGTCCAAAATATACTTTTCAATTATACACTGTTTGTGTACCGTCAATCGTGGTTGCAGTACTGAATATACAGTTTTATAAACATTGCATATGTACTCCTATGATACAGCCGTCATGTAGGGTTAACGTAAATTGCAGTTAGACGCCATCCGCTGAATTTGATTTGTGTAGCCGTGTTGAGTGCTATCATCCTCGCGTGCAACAGCGCAAGCAGCTGTGCTTAATATCAGCCTACCGCTTCTGGTGTGTCTAATATTTATGTAGCTTTTCGCATAGTTACGCCAACTGTAAAAAAACTGATAATATAAAGAATATGCGGCTGTTTGTGCATGTAAAAAGATATGCGTGTTCGTGAATTTGTGCATATATTTAGCACCACTTCATAACGTGCTGCTCAATTAAAATATACAAAATACATTCACCTTCCCTCCGTATGATTCGGCAGACATTCACTCCCAAGGTACGTGGGATCTGCCGAACTTATTTAACTTTCGAGTCACACAGCACACGATGACGACTTCGACAATTCGAAGCGCAGGGAACCAGCTGAGATGGGCGCAATAATTTCTTTCGGCGATGCTCTATGTTCGTCTTGATCACCCTACGCGTACGAGCAGATGTCAGGGAGACGCTGAGCAGACCAACGAGTAGATACACTTTAGAGCGAACTCTTGCGCTGGTTTCTATAGGAGATGCAACGACCGGCACTTCAGCCAGCATGGGAATGATGGGTAGTGCACTGATTTGTCTAATCTTTGTTCTTTTGGGCTCCGTTTCGCTCGATGAGGCCTGAATACGCTATGCCGCAAAACAAAGTTTGGTAGATTCAGCAAATCGGTTCATCAAGTTCACAATGGTTCATTTCTTTATTCGATACAAAAACAAAACACAAGAAACAAAGCCACAAGCTCCTTCGAATCCTACAGGTGCGAGGACTAGGCAAATTCGTGTACTACCTATCATTCTCATCGTGACTGAATGATCGCTAAAGCGCCACGGTCTCCTATAGTTAATTTTAGGAAATTGTGGAGCAGATCATGTGACGCGAATAAATACATGTGAAGGGTTTTATTGCCCATCCTATTGGCTAAAGGGCCGTGTAAGCTTCGCATTGGTGAAGAGAACTTCTGAGATGGAGTATACAGGCTGCAATACCGTCTTCGCTTTGAAAAGCATAGCGAGGCTAGGTTCGTTGCAACGGCAATAGGGGACGGAAAACTGAGAAAATAAGTGCCACACGAAACTTTTTATCAAAATCGAAACAATACTGTGAGGTGAACCAAACCCATTAGCTGATTACGAGGAATGTCGTAAATGAGCAATCCGTGTTAACTTTGAGCACTCTACGATTTTCAGCGTGCATTAAACTCCCGGTACACGGGTGCATTTGCATTGCTGCATTGAAATGCGGCAACGCGCCATGACCAGCATTTTCACCTTGCGACATCGTACCAAGCGACGCAGCGCCGCAAGAGCGAAGCCACCCCGGCAAATGTAAAAAAAAACATATTTCTTTTCCAAACTTGACTTCGAAAACACTACAGCGGTTTCTGAGAAAATGACTGACGTGCAAATCAGCCGCGACAACTCGCTGTCGTAATACTGGCTTCGTAGTCTTGAATACGGAATAGTTCGACAAAGGCGTGACAGAGAACTAAGAGGACACTGCAGAATACTTTTTGAACTTTCGAACAGCTGTAAATGCATAACTTAAAACCATAAATGTTGACAAAGAGAGCCAAAAGACCCACAGAAGACTCACCCTGGAACACCGCCAGATTCCATGTGGTTGGCCAAGGTGACGTCGTCGGACCACACATCGTATTGCCATTTGCGCAGGCCCAGCACACCGCACAACACGTTTCCAGTGTGCACTCCAATGCGCATGTCCACGTTCACCTCGGTGGCCTCGCGGACCACACTGCGCAGGAGACAAACAGTAGCTCTTCAGGCAATTCCTAGACACACCTTTAAAGCAACACACATAGCTGCAAAAACAATTCGTCGAAACATGAGTATTTTTTAAGAGCTTTGAGGGTGCCAAAAATGGGTGGCTCTTAGAGCTCGAGATAAAACTTCGGATGTCCGCAAAAAAACCCTTTGCGCCGTCGCTGAAGGAGTGACATGCCCACGGAGGCAATGGGGACGAAAATTAGACGCGATAGTAGCGCCGTTTGGATTCAGGCGGCAGTTGTGAAAATATGAAACAATTACAATTTTACTTATAACCGGGAATATTTTACTCTCAACTGACGTTTTCAAATGAATAACAAATAAAAAATTCACAGTTTCACCACAAGGGCTAAGCAATAATTGCGATAGAAACAACTTGAAACGTAACGATGACAAAGGCAAGCAGATCGAAACGTGCAGCGGCTGCTCACGTGAAAATGACCCACAAAAACAACATACACAGAACGACAGAGAACTAACAACGTTTACGGCCGGACACGTAACACGCTGTTTAAACAAAAACAACGCACAAAACGTAATCACAACTGCAGATGAGTGCAAACTAACAAGTGTCCCAGATGTTATGCTTTGCTGTGTATGAAAAGCACGCTCTTTTTGCGAACGGGGCCTGTGCAGCGAGCAGAAGTGACTTTTGTGGGCCTGGCCACTAACGCGATTGTTCCTCGTATTAGTATAGTACATTGCAGTAAACTACTTGCTAGAAGCTCACAAATATATTGCATACTTATTTGAGTAAGTTGTGAGGCCGCGTACAAGGCTGAGTGAAATGACAACGCTGATCATACAAACTTTCATCAATAACTTATTTTATTGCGAGTCAATCGATCGATGTTTACATAAAATAAAGGCCACGTAAGTAATGTTTCAGCATATCCAGCAGTAAACAACCTGCATACATCAGCATTCACGTGCGGCAAGGTACGCACGATGTATAGCCCCTACGCTGATGCTCGGAGCACTGCAGCTGACCAGCGCTGCCTTGATTGATATGTGGGGTTTTTAACGTCCCAAAACCACCATATGATTATGAGAGACGCCGTAGTGGAGGGCTCCGGAAATTTTGACCACCTGGGGTTCTTTAACGTGCACCCAAATCTGAGCACACGGGCGTACACCATCTCCGCCTCCATCGAAAATGCAGCCACCGCATCCAGGATTCGAACCCGCGACCTGCGGGTCAGCAGCCGAGTACCTTAGCCACTAGACCACCGCGGCGGGGCGACCAGCACTGCCTGATATATACATCGAACAGCATGAAACATTCGCTGGTGTAAGTAAACGTATACCGCTAACATTTCGGCACTTCGGTAATTCAAGACGTCGCAAAACTCATTGCCAGTATTCGGCAAACTTTCTGTAATTGATATCAAGATATCCACGTCGCTTTCACGAGCAGCGCGTTGCGACCAGACAACACGGTGGAACGGTTTGTTTTCTGGTTCACCATGCTGCCTGCTGCTACCACCTAAAGTTCGTCACTTTCTAATCCCCAACGCGTTTGCGCTATCGGAACCAAACAAGAACAGAGAAATATGTGCATAAGACGATCACTAGACTTCAAGCGAAAATTTCACACTGGACACGTGACATATAAAATGAAAAACAACAACAAAAGTTAAACTGATAGTAACGTCCCCATTCTTCCGTTAATGCAAGCTGCGCGTCATGCATGAACCCCCTTCCAAGAAGCCAATTGAGGGCACACTTACAGATCTATCTGCCTCCCTGTGTGTATACATGGCCGCACGGATCTGACGTTGGACCTGGTCATGATCTAGTCGCAACACCCGAATATGCGCAAATGCTGGGGTGCACCCACACCGCTCACAATGATCGGCCAAGTGGCCCTCCGCAGCAAGCGATCAAACCACTGCTCCGATTCTTACCTTTTTAGGTAAGCAGGTCTGAAAATAAAGCATTGAGTTGCCGTGCCTGCAGGTTCTCCGCGCAACGAGTAAACTAATGATATGCGTTGTGGCTTGGTTATTTCCGTCGAGCTCCGAAAACTCTAGCCGGCATCATCTTTTGAGTTATTTTTTATAATAATGATATGTGTGGTGTAACTTTCGAAAACCACAGCAATGTCCTTATTTTTATACGTATATAATGTTGCAAACACGTTAGGATAGTATTACTGATTAGTTACACAACCAATTAGTCTCATTATTATAGTCCCTAAGAGCCGCGCATACCTTCATAATGGAAAACCCAGATATATAGGCTTCAAAAGACAAAATGACAGGCACAGATAAATCCATTCCGATACCACGTAAAGGTTTTTCTATAAAGGTTTTCGGACTGTAGTAGACCGCCTGCAAGTCGAAAGGAAATTATCTATTTTTCCAATTCTCCACAAACCACGCGCAGTGGCCATGTTGCCTTTGAAAACATTTACACCATTTTACCGTGTTTTCTTTTTATGCGAAGCATTTCTTAGCGAACTTCAGCGACTTTGAGCGTATCTATCTATCTAGCCGCTTAAGTTTGGGTGCTCTCGTGGTCACCCCCTTAACTTGGCGTGAACTGAAATTAGCATGAGAGGGTAAGATGATTAGACGAATATGACGTGCTGGTCAAGACATGAATAATCTCACAACCCCGTCACGTAGGTCGTCAGACACTTTCCACCAAACAGTGGCACATACCCTCGAGCGGTTATGTGCCGCTGGTATGCGGGTATGTGCCACAGGTGATTGACACTTAGTATCTATCCTGGAATAACGAGAACACACATGGGCAATTTTAACACGTGAGCGCTAAGCAATACCCGACGTCGGTAGCGTCGAGTCAACGAGAACATAAAATAAGTTTCAGGATCCAAGCAGGAATCGAACCCGAGCATTCCGCGTGGCAGTCAAGCATTCTAGCTCAAAGCTACGAAAGGTCTCAGAACCACTTTTCAAATAGATGCTGATATTCGTGAAAATGGTGCAGCGATGGCGTATGGTGCAGCGATGGCGTAGTGGTTAGAGCATCCGCCTCGCATGCGAGAGGTCCGTGGTTCAAATCCCGGTACCGCGCAGTTTCCAACCGGATTAAAAAAAAATAAATCCGCGTGTTGATGGAACTGCATTAAGAGGCCTGGGGTGCGGCCTCACCGGCAAACACCGCCGAGAACGCACTCCCTCACCAGAGAAGGATTGGCCACCCTGGTGCAGTATCTGGCCACTACCTCCCACATGCTTACGTCAGATAACTCACGGCCCTCAGTCCCCAGCAGCTGCGAAGCAACTGACCACGGCGGCGGTCAGATCTGCAACGCAGCAGAGGGTGCTAAGAATCTCTGGATCCGGACAGGCCGCCATTGGAACCTGAACTTGGCAACGTTTAACGCTAGAACCTTATCTAGTGAAGGAAGTCTAGCTGTACTATTCGAGGAGCTAGAGAGTGTTAAATGGGATATAATAGGGCTCAGTGAGGTTAGGAGGACAGATGAGGCCTATGCGGTGCTACAGAATGGGCACGTCCTTTGCTACAGGGGCTTGGCAGACAGAAGAGAACTGGGAGTGGGGTTCCTAATTCACAGAAACATAGCTGGCAACATAGAGGAATACTATAGCATTATTGAAAGGGTGGTAGGTATCGTAATTAAACTGAATAAAAGATACAAGATGAAGGTAGTACAGGCTTACGCGCCTACATCCAGCCATGATGACGCTTCAGTTGAAAGCTTTTATGAAGACGTGGAATCGGCAATGAGTAAGGTAAAAACACAGTATACTATAGTGATGGGCGACTTTAATGCAAAGGTAGGGAAGAAGCAGGCTGCAGACCAGGCAGTAGGAGATTATGGCATCGGTACTAGAAACGCCAGAGGAGAGCTACTAGTAGAATTCGCAGAACGCAATAATTTACGGATTTTGAATACCTTCTACCGAAAACGAGAAAACCGCAAGTGGACATGGAGGAGCCCTAACGGCGAAAATAAGAACGAAATAGACTTTATAATGAGTGCACACCCTGGAATCGTGCAGGATGTGGAAGTGATTGTTAAGGTACGATGCAGTGACCATAAAATGGTACGGTCTCGAATTCGCCTAGACTTGAAGAAGGAACGACAGAAACTGATACGCAAGAAGCCAATCAATCAGCTAGCATTGAGAGGGAAAGTACAGGAATTCAGAGTGTCGCTGCAGAACAGGTACTCGGCTCTTAGTGAGGAAACCAACCTTAGCGTAGATACAATGAATGATAATCTGACAAGTATCTTTACGGAGTGTGCAGTGGAAGTTGGAGGCAGGGTAGTAAGACAGGACACTGGCAAGCTTTCCCAGGAAACGAAGAACCTAATTAAGAAGCGTCAAATCATGAAAGTGTCAAGTACAACAGACAAAATAGAACTGGCAGAGCTTTCGAAGTTGAATTATAGACGTAAGGTATGCGATGTAAGAAGGTATAACATGGAGAGAATTGAACACGCTCTGAAAAACGGAGGAAGTGTCAAAGCATTGAAGAGGAAACTTGGGATAGGCAAAAGTCGGATGTATGCACTAAGGGACAAAGAAGGCAAAATAACTACCAATATGGATAGGATAGTTAAAATAGCGGAGGAGTTTTACAGAGATCTGTACAGTAGCCGAGACAACCACGACCTTAATACTATAAGAACTAGCAGTAACCCAGATTACACCCCACCAGTAATGATAGAAGAAGTCAGAAAAGCTTTGGAGAGCATGCAAAGAGGCAAAGCTGCTGGTGAGGATCAGGTAACATCAGATCTGCTGAAAGATGGAGGACAGATTGTGTTAGAAAAACTAGCCACCCTGTTTACGAGGTGTCTCCTGACGGGAAGAGTACCAGAGTCTTGGAAGAACGCTAGCATCATCTTAATACATAAGAAAGGAGATTACAAGGACTTGAAGAATTACAGGCCGATCAACTTGCTCTCTGTAGTATACAAGCTATTTACAAAGGTAATTGCTAACAGAGTAAAGAAAACATTAGAAT